GAGCCCCTGGGGAGGGACGGGGCTGTTGGGGACCCCCGAGAGGCGACGGGAGCCCCTCGGTGCCGCTGCGCCTGGGACGGGGCGTGAGGACCGCTCCGGCCACATCCTCGATCCCGTTCCGACAGCGGGAGGCGGCGGGGCCAGAAATGGAGGCGCAGCTGATGGGGGTCCCTCTCCCCAAGCAGCGCCCCCGCTGCCTTCAGCGCTGCCCCGGGGCTGAGCATCCCGGGAGCTCTCGGGATTTAAACTTTCCAGCCGGCCGGGTGAGGCTGCCGGGCGAGCGCTGGCGCTGCCGGAGGACGAGTGCTGGCAGAGTCGGGCTTGTTCAAATGCCACGCTTGCTCAGGCCACCTTCTGCTGACTCTTGCTGGGGTGTTGTACTTCCGTACTGGAGCCGGGCCCCGGGCAGACCGCAAGCTTGGCCATGGCCACATACCTAGCAGCCTTCTCCGAGTCTGTCCTCCTCCTCCGTGTCTGCCTGGGACGGGTTTAACGCAGAGAAGGGCAGCAGTGCTTCTACACATGTGGATTTACACGTCCATGGGCTCACATCCCAGTAATCCATCCCTGTATGGATCACGACACCACAGATTTGTTAGTGAGTTGAACAGGTCGTTTTCTCCCCTTGTCTGGCCATATAATTATTCCTGCTTCCTTTCCTTAAATGAGGTTTTACTGCTCATGCACAAAGCAAGCTCCCGGTAGGGCGGTCTGCTGTGGGACTTCAGCCTCTAGTGCATGTGATGCCGGTAGCTGTGGGCTTGTTTCCCCTCTTTCCTGTTAGTTCAGCTCCCAACCTTTTGTGTCAAGAAGGAGAGCTTTCCTAAACCAACAGGGAGATGGCAAAGCAGCCCAAGTTGGTAGCAACCTAGAGTTGTTATCCACCGGCATCCACAGCAGAGAAACTGCTTCCAGCTGGCAGCCAGTGGCCAAAGGGGCTTCTCACCCACCCCACTATCCACCAACCATCTCACCATCCACTCTTCAGTAATGATAAATGAGTCCTCCAGTGCTTGCATGCTTGGGGGGGGGTGTCTGATGCCATTCCCTAAGCTTCACATGGATCTGAGCAGTTTATTCCTAGTGAGATGGTTTTGCTCTTGTGGGTCAGGGAGAAGTGGAAGGGCCAACAGCTGGGCTTGGAGGGGACATGGAAAGGGAGGAAAACAGTGGAGGTCTGCAGAGAGAGGTTGTGTCCTGGGAGGTGTCTATCAGTGCCTTGCTAGAGAGGAGTGTGTGATACAGGAGTTGCTCACTTGAAGTGAAGTGACTGTAACTGAGATGTTTCTGTGCCCTACATGTAACTTGTGAAAGCATCACTGCGATCCAACAGTTGGGTTGATTTTGTGTTGGAAAACATGGAAAGTATGTGGGCTTGTGGGCCCTTAAAGTACAGGGGGAGAGGAGAAAAAACTGCCTAACTGGCACATAAAAAGCCATCCTGTCCCCCTGATTTGTCATCTCTGCATCATCAGTCTGAAACTCATGTCTCACTTCAAATGCCATCGTGGTATAAACTGCAAAAGTGGCTCCTGCAAATTGGTTTGGGAAGTGATTCCTTTGGCATGAGCCAGTGTTGGGATAACTCAGCTCTTCCTTCATTTACACTGGCTCACTTAGCTGATGTAAGGGGTTTCTTCTCATGGATTTACACCAGCATCAGGAATGAATCCAGCCCAAGAGCACCCTGGGAAGGATATCTTGGTGTTTCTTGCGGAAGGAATAGCTGAGTAGCTGAATAACTCAGCTATACTTGAGAAAGTATAACCACAGAAACTCATCCCTTTGTGCCATGCTCTGGTTTGGGAATGGTGGGCACAATTCCCTGCTCTTGGTGCCCTTCCCTGGCCAACCTTCCTGTGCCAGTTCCAGGCAGTGGTGGCATAAAAACAGTCTGCAAAGCTGTCAGGCACCATCTCCAAGTCTCTTCTTGCTTTCATGAGAACAAACAGGTTGCATCATCTGGGCTTTCACACAGATGGCTCTGTCACATCTATCTTGTAGTGGAGACTGGAGCAGGCACCAGGCAGCTCCAGCTCAGGTGACTCCTGTGCAGTGCTGGGGACAGAGCCCTCTGCTTGTGCCTGCTGTCATCTGCTGAGCCCAGCACTCTCCACCTCATGTCACCTTCCCTCCCCTGGGCTGCTCAGCTGGGGCAGGCAGAGACTCAGAGTCACAGATCCTCCATGTGGATGCTCCAGCCAGGGGACAGGGTGAGCTGCAAAGCCACCCTGCAATGCCACGGAGGAGAGGTGATGTCCTCGGAAGGCCGGAGAGCCCATGGGGAGCAGACAGCCTCAGAGGCTGTCAGACAAGCTCTGTGCTAGCTTTGCTGCTCTGCCTTGTGTGTGAAGTGCAGCTCCAACAGAACCTGTTACTGGGACACGCTGGTTTTGCAGAGGTAGCTGTTAAGTGCTGTGTCTTCACAGCGGGTACTTTTAGTTTAAACCCAGAGGAGACAGAGTAGTTTTCACTCTGCAGAGCACCTGGAGAGGCCAGGGATAGATGTATTTGCCATGTGATTTCAGGAAGTCTTTCTGCCAGGTGGGGAAAAGGAACAGCAAGAACTCATCTGCCAAGCAAAAAAAGAACCTTTAAGGAGTAAGAACATTTTGGCAGCTCTTGGTCTGGAGTCACTTGAATAAACTCTTAGTACAGCTACATCCATGCAGAACTGCTCCGAGGGAGGTTAAAGTCTGTGCTCAACCATCTAAGAATGACATCAAAAGGGTGCTCGCTCAGGAAACCAGCAGGTCTATATTTGTGCAGCAGTTGCTGTTCGCTGAAGTCGCAGATCACAACGGAATACAACTTCCTGGCAACCTAAAAAGTCAAGTTTAAAGAACCCCCCCCCCAGAGGCCCCCTCACTTCCCGGAAAACTCCTTGGTGCTCTCTCATCCTGTATTGTGGCTGTTGCTAACACAAAGAACTGCTACAAATGGCACCAAGGATGTTGCAGGTTTCCGCCTGGGTTTCTTTTAGGTGATACATGATTTATTTAAGTGTCTTGCTCCCAGTCTGCTCCTGAGCCTACCTGCAAAGCCAAGCCTCTTAGCAGGGATCAGAATAAACGTGGATGCATGGGGTATTTAATGTGGTTTTCCTCCTTTTACGGGTGTGAGCTCCCTCTTTGGAGCAAGCAAAGCTGCTGTCCAAGGGTGTGTTCGTTGGGAATCTAGTGCATGGGAAGAGATTTGTTAGCAAGGCTCTCCTCCCAGTTCTTGGAGCTCATTTGACAGACTTGCTCTGTCCTGGCCATGGGAGCATCCAGCTCTGACTCCTTTCCATGCATGTGGGATTTCCTCATGTTATGAAACTTGATGTCTGAGCTCCAGCCAGTCCAGTTTGTTTTGTTTGGGGCTTTTTTCCTATACGAAAAGGTTTCATTCAGCAGCCAGTGAGGGCTGTTTGGGGATGGTTGGTGTGCTGGCTTTCTGCAGCAGGATTTGCTGCTGTTATAGACGGGGACATGGAGGAAACCAAGTCTGAAGAGTCAGTGGGTTTCCTGGGAGGAGGCTGGAGGGTTTGGGGTTGGCCTCTCCTTACAAGTAGCAAGGTTGGCGAGGTGTTTGTGTAAGGGGATTTGGCTCAGCCTTGCTCGAGGGAAAGAGGCTTATTGAGGGTCTGTGGGGTGTTGGGAGCAGCAGGGTGCTCCAAGGGAGGGGAAATGGGGATCCTGCCTTTGCAAAGGCTCTTCCAGTGCGCTGGGGAGGAGGAAAACTCAGCTTTCGCCAAGTCTGCTGATGAAGGCAGTCAGTTAATCAGCCCCCGCTCCCGGCTTAGGTTTCCTGTCTCTGTTTGATGTGAATATTGATATTGGACATTTCTGATGTTTTTCAAAGCAGGGAAGTTATCCATCTTCTGGTTTTTACCAGGCCTGGAAAGGCAGCAGCCTCCCAGCGCAGGATGCTGGGGCTCCCCATGCTGCTGCAGACAGGCGAGAGCAGGCTGGGACAAACAGCAAGGACCTAAAGGCAGGGCAGTTAAAACCACCCCTCTCTTGGTGTTGCCTTCTCTGCTGGTCCTTCCCTCTGCTTGCAAACCACACAGGAGCGTTCTGGGAATGTTTTAGTGTGGCTCTGATGAAATCCTGGCTCTCATGATATTTAAGGTCCCTTCCAACCCAAACCATTTTATGCCATGGATTTGCCCATGGGATTTGGTTTGGAGGCATTTTCCAAACATAGAGACCTAGAGGAGACTTTTACAGAAGTGGCTGTGGGCTAAAATATGAGTGATGCTGCTGATGCCAGCAGGATCCATCCCACTGGGATTCATCAGAGAGTTGGAGGAGCAAAGTGGAGAGGAAGGTGCTAGTTTTCAAGGCGCACTTGGTACATGGTTGAGCAGGGAGTACCTGCACAGAGAGCAGAGCAGAGCCACTGGGGAAGCAGAGGAGCATGGTGGTCTTGCTGCCATCTCAACAGTGTCTCTCAGGGTAGCCTGAGTCCATCCTCACTCCCTGATCCTATGGGATCTGCTTGAGTTTTCCTCTGGAAGATGCCAGTGTTTTCCCTAGTGATGTGGTGGGGAGGGACCACATTTGGTGAGCGCTGAGGTCTTCTCTGGACAGGCTTTCTGAGGACCCTGATTAAATGGATGGAAAGTGCTTTTGCTCTAATTCCTTCTCCTCTCTGTCCTTGCAGGATACAAAGGAGGAAGTCTCAGAGAAACCAAAGCCTGCTCCAACGGCAGAGAAATATGGCTGGATTAAGAAAAGCAGCGGGGGGCTCCTGGGATTATGGAAGGATCGTTACATCCAGCTACGGAAAACACAGCTCGTGGTCTATGAGGACGAGGTACGGTCACAGCTGAAGGTCTTGAGCAGGGGCAGCACCAGGCCCCTGGTGAAACACATTCCTGCGTTTTTCACTCTTCTCTCCAGCTCATTCCTTTCAAAAGGGCTTCTCCAGTTCTCTCCAGGAAGGGTAAATGCTATAAAGAAGAGACAGCAGCTGCATTTTAGGGTATATTATGTATTATAAATACTTTAGCCAGTAAATATTTTGACAGTTCCATTGCCAAAGAAAAATAATGGGGGCAGGACATCCTGTGAGAAGGCAAAGGGAGTGAAGCTTGGGGCGGAAGCAGGACATGTGCTCTGTGGTTTTGGAGTTGAAAGGATAAAAGTGGACTGTAGCAGGCTGACTCCCCACCTGCTGCTTGAGGGAATGGCAGGCAACCCTGCAGCTGTTTGGCACCCTTCAAGCAGCTCAAATTGTTGCTAGCCAGGCTCATCAGAGTCTCTGATGGATGCAGGGTGAGATTGTGAGTGCTTGCTGTCCTTCTTAAGCAGAGACACGGTCTGGATTTGGCTCATCTTTTCCTTTTACTTAAGCCAGTACTGAGCGAAGAACCCCTGGGAGACTTGTCCTGGACTTCCCTAGATAAATTGCATGCCTTAAGTTCATGGCCTCATTTAGAGCTGTTTCCAATCAAATGAGAAATAAAAGCCAAGCCAAATATGTCCTGCATCTTCATGCTAGAAGAATGAAAAATGCAGGGCTGGTCCTGCTGGGCTGCAATGGGAGCTCTTCCCTTGGCTCCTGGGTTAGAAGGGGCTTCTGCAAGAGCAGAGTTTGCCCCAGAGTTAGAAATTACAGTGCAGAGCACAAGCTACAACCATCTGGGATATGGGGTGGGTCAGACTAAGCCCTGCTGGTATATGGTGGCTGGCAGTTTGTGTGTGCATCAGGATGGAGGAGGATTTCTCACTGCGTGGTCAGCACAAGGGCCGCGTGTCTGTGTGGTGTCTGACACAAGGGGATCTGGGTCATTCGTGGGTATCAAGATGATATAAAACCAGAGTAATGTGAAGCTTTGTGTGCAGTTTGTCAAGGGAAGAAGAATGGGGAAATGTTTCAGCAGCTGCATTGCTGTGATGGTTTCAGGACCAGGACTGACAGTGAGGTTGGTTCTCTTTTCTAAAAAACACACTATTGCCTAATAAAGGTTTGTTAAAAACAGTTTGGGTTAAAGGGTGTTGCCTCCTCCCTTACACTGAACCCTCCTGCTCTTCCCAAATCCCAACGCTTTCTGGAGGCGTTTGTTCTTAGTTGTGAAATGGCAGGAAGAGTGCAAGAACAATGAAATGAGAAGTCACTGTCAGGTGATGAGCAGCTTGGAAGCAGGGAAAGGGTTTCTCTTGCACAGAGAGCTGCAGCCTGGTCCTGCAAACCACTGGTGCTCTGCAGACTGCTTCCCAGTGCCCCAGATACCTGTTGACTCCAGCTGAAGCTTCAGGAACTCAGAGATTCAAATTCTATCATCATGACGTAGGGTTTTTTAAAGGGCATGCCTTTAAAAACAAGATATATGGAGGCTTTCGTTACCACAAGGGGAAAGGAGGCTTTTAAAGTAAGATTAATTTTCACAGATGTTCAGAAGAAGGAAAAATCTCCGTCATTTAAAGGGTTATTTTATTATCTAAACAAGGAAAATGGCATTTGTAACAACCAGACAGAACGTTTTCTGGTAGCCTGCGGATTGTGGTAACATCCTGTAATAAATTGCATCTGTAAGCTACAGTAGCTACAAGGTCCCATTATTGTAAATAAGGGATCATGTTAATATCTATAGGCTATTAAACTGGCTTACAGTGAAGTCAAATGGCTAAGAGAGGAAATTGCTACAAAATTATCTGGTAGCACAATAGGATAGCATGTGATTGTGCAGACTTACTACAGGGGAACTAGAGGAAATAGCAATTTTCTGCTCTCAGGAGGGGTCCCGTTGCTACAGAATTGAGGCAGTTCATCTTTATGACTGTATTTATCTTCCTTTAATGTGAGTTAGGGCAGTGTTGCTGTCTTCATCTTACAATTGGGGAACTAAGTTTTTGAGATGAGAAGGGCCAGTGTCAAAGGAGAGTCTGTGGTGCAGTGTGGGTTTTCTTTCTGGAGCTCAAGCTGCCATTTTTCCTGCTGGACCTTTTCCACATACCTTTGTGGAACCTGAAAGCTGGCTTTGTGTGACCCTGGAAACAGACACAGCATCCCAGACCATCCTCAGGCTGAAATGGTTTAAACTGGCATTGCTCAGTGCTTGCTGAATTGGAGCCCTAGAAAAAGAAAGGAGATAAAGCTTCAGGCAATACGAATACAAGCATCTTCCCATGTGCATCCTAGAGTTAGACCTAGGTGGGTTAAACGGGAGGGAGGTCAGCTTCCACGTGGGAGGGCAGGTTCAGAGGCTGAGTAGTTCAGCTGCTCTGAGCCCATCAGATTTCCAGGAACTGAGATAATGACTTGGACACGCTGTGCTTTTATGGGTCCCTCATCTTGGAGCCCTTCACGTGTTGAGGCCCTTCATGAAGAGGTGCTAACATTGCCTTCAACAGTTGTTTCTAATGCAGGCACATTTCTCTATGTAACTGAATGAGGCTGGCTGCACTTGTAGCTGAGGTTTGTGTGTGCAAAACAAGAGCAGTGGGGATGGCCAACACAAGATGCAGGCAGTAATGTACCGTGTTAGCAGAAAGTACAGTCTGAGCAGAACACAAGTACTGTATTTATCCTCATCAACAACAATCGCCTGGAATGTGCTCCTGACCTGTCCTGCGAGAGTGTTTTCCATATTACATTTGTTAGTGAGGCTTTGGGTTTGGTTTATGAAGGAGAATTGCAAATGGCTATTGTATTACCAGGAGCAGATGGGGGTGAAAGTCACCCCACCTGGCTTCAGGTTTCTTTCAGCGGATGTGAAATGAAGGGAGATGCATTTCTTTGTTATCTGCTGTGCCTCCATCTGCAGCACCCTACTTCTGCACCTTCACATGAGTGAAGGCTCAGTTAAGCTTCATTAGGGACTGTAGTGATAGGACAAGGGGTAATGGGTTAAAACTTAAACAGGGGAAGTTTAGATTTGATATAAGGAGGAAATTCTTTCCTGTTAGGGTGCTGAGGCACTGGAATGGGTTGCCCAGGGAGGTTGTGAATGCTCCATCCCTGGCAGTGTTCAAGGCTAGGCTGGACGAGGCCTTGGGTAATATGGTTTAGAGCGAGGTGTCCCTGCCCATGGCAGAGGGGTTGGAACTTGATGATCTTAAGGTCCTTTCCAACCCTAACTACTCTATGATTCTATGATTCTATATTACGTACCCCAGTGGCAGGAAAAGAGCCGTCAGTGCGAACACTTACAGCTCTGGCGTGCTCACATCCTCAGAAGCTGCTCAGGAGTCTCTGGGAAGGCAGGATGCGTGCAGCAGGCCCACGCAGAACCAAGCAGGTTATTTTCTAAAGGGTATTTTTTCTCTTCTTGTTTCTGCATATTCTTGCCAGAATCAAAATCAAACCTTACAAGCTCCAGCGAGCAGGGGAAGAACAGGCAATCCTGTGCAGAGAGACTACACAGATCAGAATCATCACTCCATAGATCAGAGAGCATCAGTCTTGGGTTTGGAGGTTTCCCCCCCTAAACAGTGGTTTATATTTAGGTTTTAGAGTTGGGCTTTTTGTTGTTTTGGGGATTTTTTTAAAGTGCATTCTTTGACAGGTTAAAACCCTACTAGACAAAGAGTCTTCTAGAGACCAGAGGACGCACTCTGCATTTAACAGTCATGCCGTTAACATCTGTATTTTGCCCCTGGTAAAAGCAATACATACCCGAAAGTGATCTGTTAAAACACTTTGAGCTCCTTGGACAGAGAAGTAAATTATTATTTCAGGCAGTCTAGACACTGTGCACTGAGCAGAGGGTCACAGCCTATGAATGTGGGTCACTGAGGAGGCCTTTGCTGGAAATTATACTTCATATAAATACAAGTGTCAGTGAGTCTTTACCCCCCTTTTTATCAGCTTCTCATTAAGGCAGCTGTTTGCCTAGTGTGGTTCTTTGGTTGATGCTCTACTGTTTTTAGGTGTTTGGTATTTTCCTTCTTAAGGGCCAAGCCTACAGACAGATACATGTTAAGTCGCAGCATCTGCTCCGTGAATAGATAAAGGAATTGGGTTTCTTCATTAAATCACTAATGCAGGGGTTTCTGTAGCAGGATTTTAAGTGTCTTACTGATTGTCCCTTACAGCAAGCACAGAAGCAGTTTAAAAAGCAAGCCCTAAAGTCTGTAAAGGAAAAGAGAAAGGTGGTCTGAAGGGAATTCCCTGCCTCGATCAGGTGAGGGACAACCTGGGAGCTGTGTGCTGCAGGGAGGTGCGACCACTGAGTAAGAACACAACATCTGTGGCTCAGGATGGCATAAAAGGATTGTTTTAATTTCTCTGGGACAATAGAGACCAAATGGAGCAGGAGCTTGTCCAGAACATGTGTCTAACACCCCTGTGTTGGAACAGGACCCTGGAAGCAACCTTGTCTCTGTGATGCTGAGTATCCTCCTGGTCCCAGGAGGTTGAAGGGCACCTGGAGATCTGCAGCAGGGTTGGGTCTTTCAGTCTTTCTCTTAGTGGTGCAGGACAAACATAAAGGATCTCTTTGTGACCCAGGTAGGGTCACATAGAGGGGATGGCTGCTTGCCAAGGGTAAAACAGAGACAAAAGCCCCATTCTGGTGCTCCCTGAACTCAGATGCTTTTGCTTTGCCTCAGACATGGAGTTTTCTTCTTTCCCTGGCTGCTTTCTTCCCTGCCCTCCCTAAAGAGGATAACTTGAGAAGTTCAGGTCTCTGAGATGAAGGAGCTCAGCAAACTTTCACGTCGGGGCTGGTAACCGCACCGGCCGTGCAGCAGTGCTGTAATGTGGGCGGTCGTGCACCAAAGGCCAGGATGAGATCACCCATCCCCGAGGCATGTATTCCTGACCTCACCCTTCTCTGTCATTTGTTGGCCGCTGAGGGGTTATTATTTCCATCCCGGTCCTTTTGCAGTGACACTGCGACAGCAGGATTGCAGCAGGAGCCTTGTGCCTTCAAAGGGCTCGGTATCGTCAGCAGGATTTTATCTGTTGGGTTTTAGGTTTGGGCAGGATTAAGCTGCTCCTCCTCATATGTGTTCTCCTGGTTCTCTGGTCACGTTCACCTACTCAGTGTTAAATGAAATAAACAGTAATGTCATTAAAATAATAAACCTAAATTAGACCCAGACATCCCTCAGTGGCTCTGAACTCGCTCTGCATTCCGACATCGGCTCCGCCGGGCCCCCATCCCCAGATAGGAGCAGGGTTAAAACAAACTAAACACAGCCTGAGCTCTGCACAGTGACTTAAATGTCAGGCGGTAAAGGGAGGAAATTCCCTGCAGCCCACTTCCCTCTGAACTCCCCATTCCCTGCCTCCAGCCACGCAGCAGCTTCCTGGCTGCAATACATTTCCTCATCCCACACCCCCTTCTCTGCTACAGGAATTGCTAAATACAAACTCAGACGGGTATGAGGAGCTGCCTTGGGAGCAGAGCCTGGGCTGGGGATGGTCACGGTCAATGGTTTTAATTCAGGATGGTAATGGTGGTTCATGAGGTGTGCTGGCTGGAGCAAGAACTGCTCTGTGATTCTCACTGCTTATTTGTCTAATGGTTAGCAAAAGGGAGCTTCAGTCTCTTCTGGGCTACTGAGACATGAAGAACACTGTGCTGTGTTACGCTGTGATTCCTATTACGGATGGTTCTGTGCAGCTGAACTGAGCCACGCACCATGTGTGGAATTTTAGTTATGTTACTGGGAGAAAGGAGCCAAGAGGCGGAGATACACTCCATCAGTGCAGATACACCAGAGATAAACATACCCCACTGAGACACTGGCCCTGCAGTTTTGCTGGCTGTATGGGACTGTATTTCCAGTCTTACGCACTTTGACAGCTCAAAGCGTGGCTGCAAGAGGAGGGTGTCCCAGTTGCACGTGGCTTCTGCTGACCTTTTTGATGTGAGGACCAGCCTGCTCTAGCTCCGTGGTAGCAGGGCTCCCCTCTTATCTTCACTATGCCTCTGGCATCCTAGGGGGCTGCCTGGACCGTGGTGATGCTTGTGTCATCTTCCCTGTGGAAAAACAGAGTAACATCTCCTGTGTTCACTGTAGGGAGAAAGTAGTTTCACTTTTGGCTGCAGATCCCAACAGAGATGGCAGGAGGTGGTGTTACTGTCCACAACATGTTATTTGCTTGGCCACTGTGGACCTCTAGCTGCAAATTGTCCTGTAGCTTAAAGACTAGGGTGTTTCCTTAGTGAGATGCCAGCCTGATTTATGGGGGCTTGCTGTCTGCATGCAGGTTATTTTTAAGGCAGAAGTGCTTTTAGACAGATGCAAAGGGAAGACATGCAGAGTTTGATGGTATATGATTGATTTCAATGGCTTCTATTCATAATGTTTCATTCCCTCTCTGCAGGATGAGCAGAAGTGCATAGAAACAGTGGAACTGGAGAGTTATGACAAGTGCCAGGAGCTGCGAGCGCTACTCAAAAGGAAAAACCGTTTCATTTTGATCCGCTCCCCGGGTAAGAAGGTAGGATTGCCTTTCTCATCACCTCCAGTCTGCTCACTCCAACTGAGTTCCCAGGCAGCTGCACCCAGAGCAGATGAAAGACTGAGATTTGGCTCTTTGGCACCTGGGAGAAATGACTGTTGAATGGTGTACAGCGTGTAAGGAGGAACGCTGCTGTCTTGTAGGCTTTCTTGTTTCCTCTTGATGTTTCTCCTGCCTTATCATGTCACTCCTCCAGTACTCCCTGAGCATTGCAGAAGGACCATTCCTTATGTTTCCCCTGTGTTCCGGGCAAGGAAGTATCCCTGTCCCAGCTGTAGATGCTGCAGCTTTGCCCAAGTTTCAGTGAAATCAACGATCTTGATCCATGTAAGGAGACTGCTCCTGGAGTCGGAGCCATTGATCTGAGAAACTTCAGTGCAAAGCTACTTGTAGCCAAACAGTTCCTAGGAGAAAAGATTTATTTTGCAGAGTTCATGAAACTCTACATCTTTATCATCCTGCACAGCCTCTGGTTAGATCCAGAACCTTACAACCAGGCTGGTGTTGCAAAGAAGCTATACATCCATCTGAGCCCTGACTGCATGCAAGGGCACGCTTGCCTTACTTCCTATGTAGGTTGATCATCACTACACATCTTTGGATGTTCTCCTTAGTTCCTATTTACATGCTATCCATTTCAGCACCTTTGTGGGCTAGGATGCTTCTGTTGTTGCTTTGAGGCATCACACTTTGACTTACTTCTAATTGCAGTGTGATATTATTGGCCTAAGAGATCTTCCTAAATCTTCCCATGTAAATCTGAGAGGTTGAGAGGGACAAAATATACTCCTTTCCATAAGAAAGTGAACAGGCAAAAATATCACCATGCCTGTATTCCCCCATCTCCAGTTTGTTTAAATAAATGGAGATTGTTTAGTCTTTATTGTCACTGTTGCTTATTCTTTCACTCCAGCCACTTAGTGTTTATTCCCATAGTAAGACCTCATCTGAGTTCAGAGCTTCATTGTGCTAAACTTCACTCAGAACAACAAAACAAGACTGCCCTGCCCCAAAACACTACAGGGACCAGAGTGGGGTGGAGAGAAAAGGTGAATGATTGTTTTGCAATGAAGGAGAAAACCAGTATTAAGCACCATGCACCACAGTGATGGAAAAGTGCACCCTGAGCTCCTGCTCAGCACCCAGTCGTGGGGCAGAGTCTCCCCAGTCTGAGCTGAGGTTTAGTGTTTGTTTTGTAACTTGATTCATCAGAAATCATGTCATTTTCCATCAGAAGTGGCTAACCCCGGCAGGCTTGGTGTGTTTGCTAGGGGGTGGCACCATAACTCCTAGTGCACACCTATTCCTGGGGAGAGGAATAGAAGCTCAGTGCTCAGAGATGGGTGGCACAGTAGGAATTATTGTCATCTGCAAGTATGTTACTTACAAGAGTGTAATAGCTGTGTATGTCTGCACTGCTACATGAATCAGCAGAGCGTATGAGACCCGTTCCTAAACCTTTCATTTCTTGCTAGGAGAAACATAAGCCCAAACTGTGCCTTGAAAGGGTAACTTCATCCCTTTGCCATGCTGGCAAGTGTACGGCTCCTCTGTTCTGCGTGCCACTGATTAAATGGAGATCTAGATAGAGGCTACTCTTTATAAAGCTCTTTTGGTGAAAGGAACGGCTTTTATAAATGAAAAGTTCCCTGTTTGCAGCTCCCCTCCCACCCTCCTTTTGGCTGGGAATCTGGTGAGGGTGTTGACACACAACATACTTTGGCAGATGTTCGAACAGGCTTCAATTAGGAGGCCAATGTACACAACTGTCCTTCTTCTGTTTTGAAATCGCAGCTGTGGCGATATATATCAGCTAAACATTCTCCATTTGGGAGGCTTGCTGCCATCCTCAGTTGAAAATCACCCTGTGAGCTGGCTGGCCAAGCCCTGCCAGACCTTGTTAGGGCTTTTTTTGCCCCCTCTCCTGAGCAGAATGCTGAGAAATGCAGAAATCCAATGAGTCTGTGGGACTTACGAACAAGCTAGGAAAGGTCATTTCCATTTCACTGTGCAAACAGGAGTTTCCCTCTTGGATACAGGGAGACCAGTTTAGCTGTAAGGAAATCCCAGTTTAAATATTGGATGGGATGTTCTTGAAGAGCAGAGATGAATTGCTCAGTTAAAACTACTCGGCAACTGAAGTTGCACCCAAATAAATAAGTTGCCTTGCTAAACACTAGTCTTCGATGGATGTACCCCAGATTCTGCTTGCCCTGTTCACAAGGATGACATTTTTGTGAAGCTGTGACAATATAAGCATGTCACACGCCTGCACTGGTATGGAACTGAAAGCAAGCACTGCTCCCTGAGCTCCAGCAAAGGAAGCTGGCAGTGTGCAAAAGACCCGTTCTGCTTAGAAATCTCAAATGCTTCATTCTGCCCACAGCAATTAAATGAAAGCTGTCGGATGCAGAGAGCTGAACCTGTAAGAAAGAGCAGCAGCCTTGGCCTGAAGACTTGAAAACGTACTCATGATGCAGAAAGCAGTGGAAATCATGCTTGGTGTAAACTGCCTAGAGACTACAGAGATTAGCACAAGTCTGGTATTCAATGGGTCTGGAAACCTTCAGGTCCAGGGGGAGGTCTTAAGAGTGGGAACAAGGAGGGTGGTAGTAAGGAAAAGAGTCCAGGAGCAAGCGCTGCAGCTCCCCATGCATCCCTTCTTAGTGTGGCCAGACACAAACTCCACACCTGCAGCCAGAGGTGGAAACCTCTAGTGATTGTTTTTCCCTTAGTCAACATTTGGAGGTACCTGCAGCTGCCTTCAGGAGGGGTCCAGCCTGGAAGCTGCAGTAGATCACACTGAGGCATGTTTGCCCTGCTCATGGAGGAGGCTGCTCTTGGGGTCTCACAGTTTGGCAGAGATGCTGTGTTAGTCCCAGGGATGATGGAGCTCTTGGGTCAGCTGCAGAAAACCACAAGAATCCCTTAACTGACAGTCCCTTGGCTTCCACTTTTCCCTCCAGGATCTAACCTGAAGTCACGTAGAAGAAGGCAGGAGATGACCTCACATCTGGCAGATAGACTCTGGTGCACTCTTGGGTAGTTTAAGGTGTTACCAACCCAGCTCTGCTCTGGCTCCTGCTGGAAGTGACCATCCTGTACCAAAAGCCAGCAGATGGGAACTCCCCACACCTAAACCTGCAGCTCACAAGCAGTTCACAGCCCAGCCCCACTGAATTGAAGCCAACACCAGGCTTTGCACTGAATTAGCTGAGGAGCAAACACAGGATTCTGTCCCCCACCATGACCACAGATCAGCACCATCTAACAGAATTACTCAGCGAAGAGCTAGTGTTGGTAAAGATCTTGAACTGCAGCTATTCAGCTCTCCAGAGCTTGTCTGTTAAATCATTAGGTACCAGCACAACAGAATGCCCACAGTAACAGTTCTCTTTCCTGGAAGGCAGAGTCAGCATAGCTGTAAGATGCCACTGCTTGAGGAGACTGATGTCTTCAAGAAAGCATGGAGCAGCTGGGGAGGCTGTGCTCGCTGCTGTCACGGACAGTGACCCCTGTCTGAGCCTCTTGTTGCATGACATTAAGCCAGTGATTCAGCACGAGCTGACTGGCCGTGCTGTGCTCTGGGTTAACTGACAGTAAATTGCGTGGTCTGTATTCATGGCTTACAATGGTCACTATCACATTAGCTTTAGCCATGACAGCTTTTCCTGGCACACCAAGCTGTTGTTTAAGGCATGACTCAGTCTCAGCTGGCTTAGCAAGGAGAGGAAATGTGTTACCCTGCCTTCCGCCCTCTTGTAGTGGTGTCACTGACTCTCTACTTTAAATTGCTGCTGGAGAACAGACCCTGCTTACTGTTTTGTGGGGAGTATCCACCTTCAGGTGCATCCCCCATTATCTGCAAATACCCAAATGAGTAAAAATACAGACAAGATAAATGTGTTCATTCCTTGTTGGTGGAGGACCTAGGGATCTCAGATTAGTGTACCCAGTGGCAGGCAGGACTGAGAACTCCTCCAGCTCCTCCTGCCTCTGTTCTGCAGCTCTCTGCTGTATAGAAAGCTTCCACTCTGCTTCGGGTTAGTCTCCTCTTCCCAGTGCCATGGCTGAAAATGTGAGTCACAGATGAATGCAGACAGACAAGGGACTGCAAGGTAACAAAGAGACTGGCTGGTAGCATCCCGAGCACCAGCCTCAGAGCCCCAGCAGCCTGACTGCTGCTTGCTATCTGTTGGTATTCTAAAAAGGAGAGAAGTTTTCAAGCCCAGATAGCTCAACATACTGGGAGGAAGCTGCTGTGAGCCTTGAGGCCGCTTCCCCTTTCTGACACAGCCCCAGGGACTTGTGCAAGCAGGGAGTGAAGTGGTGGCACTGTCTTCACTGCCCCACTGCAGAGAGCAGGGTCCCACACAGGGTGCTGCCTGTCCTCCCTCACCAAGTCCTTTGGGAAACTTCCTGCATCTTCCTGCTGCTGCCTTGGGAGCATCTTCCCATGAGTCCCTTTGCCTCACTAGCTGTTGTGTTTGGTGGCCGCATCAGTAGGTCTGTGTTATGCTGTGGGGCAGAGGCTTGCATGCCAAAGGGACATCTCAGCTTCTCATTAAAGACAGACCATCCCCCGAGGCTTCCCTCTGTCTGGCCGCAGGGCTGCTGACACCAGCGCTTAGTCACACTCTCAGAAGCTTTATTCGGGAGAATGAGGCACAAAGTGGCATTGGAAGTGGAAGCTTGAAGTGAGGCAGGAATCCTTCCCTCGAACAACATGTACAGAGATTTCTAAATGCTGGTGCAGGCTGCCAGGTCTTTGCCAGGCAGTGCAGCAGCTCAGCTGCTCACAAGTAGAGCTTTCTAATAAGCTTTTATAATCAGAAAGCTTTGGGGCAAAATTGTTTCCAAACAAAAAGGGTTTTTAAGCACACATCAAAACAGGCCTGCCTGAACTAAAACAAAACCTGGCTGTCGCTCTGTTTTGGAGCCTTGCCTTCCCTTAGGTTCCCTGGTTAGTGTGGCCCTTCTGCACCCCAGACAAAGGGCTCTTTCTCCAGAGGGCTCTGGTTCAGGCCCTAACCTCTCCTCTGAGCTCTCAGGAAGACATGTGGTCCCGTCACCTTCTGTGCAAACTAATTGAGTAAATAATCTCCCCAAATTGCTTCTTAACTCCCTGCTTGCCGTGCTGGGTGTGAGGGTCTGGCACTTTGTTGCTGCGATGTGTAAATGTAAAACTATGGCAATGAAGAGAGGAATAGATGCAGAAGGGAAGGGCAGTGGGTTTCTAGCTGAATAGCAGGAGTGCTGTAAGGAGATCAGGCTTTAGTTCTGCAGAATTTCTGATGGCACCTTCAGAAGTTGCTGAGACCCCAAACAGTTGCTGCTTTGTTGTGCCATAGCGAAACAAGGAGCTGCTAAAAGCATTCGACTGTCAGTCACTATTAGCTTTGTCCCTTCATTTTAGATAGCCCCTGGTTTACAGAGACACTGCTGTGATTTCAGAATGTGGGGCCTCATTTACAAGAAGGCTGGGACTACAGCTGCTTTGGAAGGCAACGGGGAGAGTGCAGAATACCTATAGGATGTTAAACACCCAAAAAACCTATTCCAAATGAGACCCCACTAGTCTAGGTTTTGAATGACCCTCTCTGTAACTCACTTCCCCACCTGCAAGAGGCAGATAATTTCAGTTGCTCTGAAAAGTTAATCTGTCAAGCCCCCAGATACTGTAGTGATAAACAGCAAAGAAAAGACTGTCAGGGGAATCAGTAATTCTGTTTTCAGGGCAGAGTGTGATCAATAAGACATATTGAGCCATGAAGATAGAACACACAATGGGATAGCTCAGTAAGACGTGCTGCCCCTGTCATTAGGGATAGTGCTAGGAGGAACATGCACTGCAGGCTGAGTTAGGACTGTCCAGCAGTGCTGGGATTATCTCATTTGCAAGTGCTTGATTTTGCAACTTTGATGATGTTCTTTAGGAAAAGAGTATTTCCATGCTCCTGTGTGGTGTGGATTAGGGCAGCACATGGAGCTATTTGGATCCAAGCTGGCTGTAGAGCCACCTGTAATGTGACGATGATATTTCTCTCACCTGAAGCGTATGCTGGGGCAAAGCTACATAATGTGGTGAGGTGCTTGGAGAACACAGCAGTGAAATAAATAACACCCTACTATTGTTCCTGCTGTGGTCAAGAATTGATCCCAAACACTGAGCAAAGCCATGGGACTGCCCTGGGGGAAGGGGAGAGCTGGCTGGAGGACAGGCTACACCATCACCCCATTGCTCCCTCCTCACCTGTGTCCCATGCTGCTTGCCAGCTCCCTCTAGTATGGCCAACTCTTTGCTTCCTCTTGGGACAGCTGTTCAAACCCCAGAGTGTGTATGTCTGTAGCATTTACTGCTGAATTTCTTTGCAAAGAGAAAAAGATATGGTGAAGATTTTCACTTACATTGCCCTTACGTTTCATCATGTCCATGCTCAGCTGAATTGGGGGTCCTGCAGCCAAGGTCAGAGCCCCAGATTCCTGTATCAGTTCTGTTCTGCAGAACTACAGAAACAGGGAAGCAGGCAGAGCCTGTTGCACACAGCCTTCCCGTTGCTTGCAGCCTGTGAGGGATGGAGATAAAGTACTTTAGTGCATCTGAACCAACACAAAATGCCTTGGACTTTCAATCTGACTCTATACACAGTGTGACCATACAACTTGCTGCTGTTCTAAGAGCTATTCTGAGTGTTTTGCAGAGGAAGAAACTCTTGTTTTCTTACTACTTTAGTTACTAGCTGCAGAAATAAAACTACAGCAACAAGCTGTTGAGCATAACAAAGTCCTGTTCATGGGAACTATGAAGTGAAGCACTTGCCAAAGCACAAAGGAATCTGTAGTTTAAACATAGGCTGGAGCTGGCTGTTATAGAGAAGCTGAAGTGAGAACAGAGAGCTGCCTCTCTGGTCCTGACAGACACCAATTGTCTCTCTGCTCTTGCAGGTTCATGATATCAAATTTCAAGCTCCAACTTTGGAAGAAAAGGAATCGTGGATAAAAGCTCTTAATGAAGGGATCAATAGAGGCAAAAACAAAGTATTTGATGAGGTAAGAGAAACGGTTTTCAAACAACTCCTCTATTTCTGTGTCAGTCCTGATCCACTGTTTTAGCCAAAAGCAGAACTTGCCCAAGCCCCCGTGCTCCCTGTCCTTCCAGCCATGGTCAAAGAAAGGAGAAAGATGGTATTCAAGGAAGGCCAGGTTCTTCCCCATAGGCTAGGGAGCTCTTAGCCACTTCAGTTCCCAGCTCAAGAAGGCAGGACATGTACAGAGCCATTTGCACCCTCCTACATCTTGCTGCCCTTCTCTCTGTCCTGGCCAGGGTTAGGTGCAGGGAGGCAGGGACAGCTGAGTAGATGGTGTGCTACAGGCATGGCCTGTGCTGCTAAGAGCTAACATCTCTCAGGAGGCCGATGGCACACAAGAGCTCACCAAAGTCAGTGGGAGATGGTCTGGGGGCTTCAGTGGGTTTGGGATCAGCGAGTGCATGGAAGTTCTCTTCCAATGGAAGTGGCTGGTGCAGGAAGCAGCTGCAGTGCTGAGCTGTGTAAAGCTGGGGCTGCACCCTGGAGAGACTCATCTTCCCCATGCTGCCATGATCCTTAGCACCAAGCAGCCTGGAAATGGAGGTATTTGATTAGGACATAGCCCAGTCCTGAATACTGGAAAACTCTGAAGTGACTCAGTCCACCAGCTATTCAGCCTGGAGAGAAGTCTGCTGGAAAGTTACTCCATGGCCCTGGCCAAACCTGCCTGCCTCTCAGCTGGCCCCAGCATACCTGTGCTCCCAAATCCTCCTCCCATCCTGCTGCACAGAGGGAGGGATGAAAATTGCACTGAGCAGCCTTGCCCTGCTCCCTGTTAGCTTGTAAATCAGCCCTCAACTAAAGCAGAGGAGCAGCATCTAGTCTGCAGTTGGTTCAGTACTGAAAGGAAGTGCACAAACCACCATCACGGGAATGGCACAAGAAGGAGCAGGCAGCATAACGAGGGAAGAAAGCAATTAGCAAGATCTGTTTAGCAAAGGAAACCAAAGAGTGAGCAAGAGCTTTGAGAAAAGGGCTAAGCACTGCAGATATGGTGCTAGAGACGTAAACTCTGAGAGCTTGGGTTCTGCTTTCATTCAGCAGAGGGCAAAAGCAGGAGGAGAGGCTTCTTTTTAGCCTAGGCAAATGGCACTCAGCTGATGGTGGGATGTAGTGGTTCCTTGGACCAAGTGGGAAACAGCTTGTGGAATTAAAGGGACCAGCAGCAGCCTGAGCAGACAAACCCCAGCAGCAGAGAGCTCAGCAGCCAGGTCTGCTGCCATGTTTCAGTGGATGGAAGATATGATGTGCTGTAATGCAGCACCTGGAGGGGCCCAGCTCGTGCCTCTCCAGTGGGCAGCAAGCTCTGCACACACCCTCAGCACCATGGCAAGGTGAAATCTCAGGTCACCTCCCTGCCACAGCCTGGGGTTATCCTCCTTATGGGGACCTGGGTTCTCAGAGGGAGCCAGCCTCTAATTCTCATTCATTCCAATACGGATCAAACCCCAGATTTAAAGCACAAGCTAATGGGTCAAGCTCTCAGCTGGCTTGGATTAGCTGTTCTCCTCTGAAAGACCAATAAACCCACTCTGCCATATCAGCTAGGGATTGGGATCCGTTTTTCCTTTTAAATCCTTATTTCACCCTGGCCAGCTTCCTGATTGTACAAAGACCAGCAAACCAAGGACACAGTGATGTTTCACCATCCCCACTCACTGCTGCTGCACCTCTGTATGGAGGAGACTCCAGCCTTCCTCCATCACAGGGTGGCTGGGTGGTCACAGAGCCAGCACAGAGAAATACCTGCCAGGGGCTGAGACCTCCCTCCCCACGTGTGTGAGGCAGTGGATTTCTCATCTGATTCCAGGAAATAGATTTGTTAATTCAGCTAGAGTTGCAATTAATCCAGGTCACTGCTCACACCTTCTCTTCAGCATCCTGCCGTCATTAGAGCTGTAGAAGGGAAGGTCTGTAACGAAGCACTGCTGGTGCAGTTCACAGTCAGGTCACGGTTATTAATGAGCTTTCACCTCTAAGATGGCAACAGCAATTTCAGTGCTGGGCTCTGCCACAGGCAGGAGCTGGGCCAAGCCTGGGCTGCAGTGAGGACAACAATGCTGCCTTGTGTCCTTCCTACCGTGCTCCTAAGGTAGAGGGGAGGTTTTCCATGGCAAACCTCTGAAGGCTGGGTGCTTTGCTTCGGAGTGTCTGTTAGATAAACACAGCTCTGTACAGAACAGATGCCTTAAATATCCATCATGTATGTGCAGGGCTTTGCAGGCAGGCTGCATAAGGTCTGAGGGAAAGACTGGGGGGGTGAAAGTCATCCAAATGCTGCATCCCTTCATGTGTGACAGTGAGACCTTCATAGACATATCTTGAGAAATTAATGACCCTCTTCTTTCTTTCTTTCCCTTCCCTTCTCCCTTCTAAAGGTGAAAGTAGATGAGAGTCTTTCCTTGGACCATGTAACTCGGGACAGAGTAAAAATGACCCAAGGACGCAGGCCACCCACGAGAAGCCACCTAAAGGAGGTAAGTGCATCCCCATGGCATGACCCATCTCCCCAGCTGGGATCACCAAGAACTGCTCCTTCCACATAGCTACAAAAGCCCAGGGAAAACCCCTTTGGCACAGACAGCCTGGAAGAAGCTGGCAGGGAAACAGCTTCCCCCAGGAAAGCCTGCGCCAGGACCTCTCTGAGGAAGCCTCAGGTTCCCATAGGCTGTAGCTGCTGCAACGTGTTATGACATATTTAGCTTTCCATAACTCACGAGCTGCTTGACCATCTGGGGAGAGCCATTATAGTGTCACTGCAATCAGAAGGAAACGAAGCTTCTAGATTTATTTTCTATGAAGCGATGGTTTTGTAGCCACGGTGGTGTAAAGGCAGAAGAACTGCACGCTCTGTGGGGAGAAGCTGTATTTTTTATTAAGCTAACTGGAAAAAGCAGACAAGCTTTCAAGCTTACAAGCCCTTTTGTTAGGTGTGAAACAGAATACATTATTCTCCCAGGCAGTTTTATGGGCTTACCTGTCTACTCGTAACTGATGTTCTGGATCTGTCACTTAGGAAAAGAAGCAAAACCACCACAAAATAAACCTACAGTTCCTTTCCATGGGAGAGGTTCTTACTAGTGTTTGAATCCTGTGATTTATGGTGAAGTTGCTACAGACAGATAGATATTGTAGCAGAGCATTAATCTCAACCAAGTTTCTTCAGACTTCCACGGCTCTGACTTATGTGTCTGTACAGCACTCAGGACCCTCGTGCAGAAAATGAGATGCCCCGAGACTTTTCACTTTGCATAGAAATGGAGGGAGAATGTCTCTGCTGGAGACACGCATGGGAATGAATCATAGATTCCCATCCACTCCCCCAGAAAACCGCAGAAGAAAACATGACAAAAGTCACAGCAGCGATGAAGTGTGGATTCTCTGTTGCCTAATATGGGTTGGGTAAGGTAGGAAGCCCTTCCCTAAGCATCAAAAAGATCTCTCAGTGCTCAGCTCACTGTTTTCACAAGATACCTCCAAGGTTAATACCTGTAAGACCTCTCACCTTCAGCTAAATTCAGGGGAAACTGGCTTTACGAATTCAGAAGCAGGAATGAGGGGAAAGGGAGAGGATAGAGCCTGCAGAAAGATGTGTATCACAGCTGCTGGCTGCAGTGTCATGAAGGAAATGGGATGAACGATGCTTTTCAGTGTCAAAGCAGACCAGGTGAGGATGGGTCAGGGCCAAGCTGCCAGGATGCAGCTCGTCTCCATCCCTCTAATGGGCTGGAAAGGTAAAGAGAGACTGTAACTAAACTCTGTGCACTGCAGGAGTCTGGCCTTGGCTGCAGCTACACCTTGGTGTGGTTTTGGGTTCCCTCACACAGGAACTGTCACTGTATTTTTCCCTCTTGGGGAGCTTACATGCTGCAACATCTTTACTAAGTCCATCCTTTTTAGGACCTCCCTTTGGTAGAGTGACTTGCACACAGCCTGTGGTTTGAAGGAGGTTTAGCCAGCTGAGGCTTGGCCCTGTTAAGACAGGGATGACATCAGGTTGGAAGAAGCAAGCAGAAGACAATGGTATTACAACAGTATCCCTGGCCAAATGATCTAAAGATCAGCTTGGTTTGTATGTTCAAGTTAAAATATGACAGTCCCTAAAGCAGAAAGCAGGTGTGCTTTGGGTAGGCACGTTGTAAATGATGGGGGTAGAGGGAGCCAGCACCAACAGAAGAACACAGAAATAGTGTGGAACAGGCTTTGAGACATTGTTCTCAGTTTCAACAGATTAAACAGGGTGGATGCGTGAAGCAGCAGCCCCTTGCCTGCCATGCTGGTTGTGGGGTTCTGGCACTTTTAAGTTAAAGGATGGAACACAGGATTGGTGATGGGGCAGATACTGAGACAGCTCTCTTGTGTATTTCAGGCTGCCAAGTCTACATCAGATGGCATCCTCCGGTTAGATCTGGATATAGTAGACAATGGACCACCAAACTTTGCTTCCGCTATCAGTGAAGATGACAATGAGCCACCTCAGAAAGAGACTCCAAAGCCACCTATGCCACCTACAAAACCCACTGGCACAAAGGAAAACCAAGATGCAGAGAACAATGTTCCTGACCAGGAGCATAAAAAGCCTCTGTCTCCTCCACTGCCTCCAGATAAGAAGCTTAAGGAAAGCATAATATCAAAGGACAATGTAGATGGCAAGCAAGAGGACTCTGTAAGCCCAGAGGAGAATGTGGAAGGATCCCAAGCAACAAGTGAGGAGAACAGAGAGAACCTCACTGAGGTCAGCAATAGGGGCATAGCAAAAGCTCTGATTCCTCTTCCTAAGAGCATACCAGACAAGCTAAAAGTAGCTTGGGACCAACCAGTCTCTGAGCCTAAAACCACAGAAGGTTTACAGTCATCAGCAGACAGTAGTGAAGACAACCTTGCTGAGATTGCTGCTGGAGATGTTGCAAAGCCTCCTGTCCCTCCTAAGGTTCTGTCGGAAAAAATGCTAGCCACAATGAACTCCAGCCATGGAGACCTGGAATCTGGGGGCTGGGAAGAGCAGGAGCCTGGCAGCTCCAAGCCCCCAGTAAATGGGATTGCAGACAGTGATGTAGCAGAGCTTGCATCCCCAGCACTTGAAACTGAAGAAGGAAATGGGAGAACCGCTGCCGAGAAAGAACAGCAAACTTCAGCAGAAGAGACAGAGACTTCCTTAGCTACAGAAGCACACCATGAGAGTGTAAAAGCAGCTGTTGAGAAGAAAGAGTCTGTAGAAAGCACTTCGTGTCTCAAACTTCGCAGTTCTTCTCTGGGAGACTTGCTGTCTGATTCCAAAACTACACAGAGAGCACATCCAGGCCCAGCTTTCCCGAAGGATTCCCATCAATGCTTAGCTAAAATGGAGGAGAAAGTGGCTAACGAAAGGGAAAAGGCAGAAAAGCTTCTGCAGAAGGTTTTACGTGAAGGGTTGGAACAGGCCCAGGAGGGGAACGGACCCCCAGTGATGGCAGAGACATTGCTCAACGAGGCCGTAGAACAGCTTCGGCAAGCTACCCAGGTTTTGCAAGAAATTAAAGGTCTGGGAGAACTGAAAAAAGAAGCAACACAGAAACAGAAAGAAAAGCAAAAGGATCGAGTGACTCTCTACAGGAGAAGTGCGCCCTGACATCCTCTTCAAAGAGATTTCTTTCTCCAAAACAAAGCTACACATTTGCCATTTATGATTTGTACCGCTGCTAGGCCAGTGTTTAAAAGGTGGAGTTTTGCTGTGCACACACCATGTGTATGGGACAGGATTGAGCTTTCAGTTACAGCCTCTTTCTCTCTTTCTTCATGTTGTACATACCAGCGTGGGTCTAATCCTGTTAGCGCAGCAGAAGGTTACAGGACATTGAACAGTTGCAGAAATGTGAATGCTCTTTAAGGACTCTGTCTAAAGTCCTTTCAATGGATCAGGCCTTAAGAATTCCTGGTAATCAAAGCCAGGTGCTTGAAAGGAGCAGAATGGCTATTCCAGCAAAAGCCCCTGTCTGTCTGTATTTACCAGGTTACACTGGCACCCATCTGGTTTTCCCAGTTCAGTAATTCAAGGATAGATGTAGTCAGTGTTTGTTCACTTGCTGGCGAGGTTTCCCAGCCCACCTGGCCCAGTGACATCCAGGAATGTAAAGATAAATGGTTTCATCTTCTCCAAAGATACTTCTAAAACCACATCCACAGTTAAAAAGTGACCTCACACAGAGGCAAACAGCACTGGCCAATTCCTGACTATGAGTAGTGTCCTCAGATCTGGAGCAGCTGTGTGAAGGAAGGCTCTTCTGAGCCTGGCTCTGCAGAGCTCTAGGTGAGCGAAGCACTGTGTGAGTGAATGCAAGTCTCAATGCATCATTGCCAGGCATGTATTAATTGTTCCTGTTTCATTAATAGGGAACTTGAGGCAAAGAGATTACAGTTGGCCTTTGAAGGAGTGTCTTGTAGCAGCACCACATGTTTATTATTGAAGACCATTCCTATCTGATAACTCTGAATCCCCTCATCATTATTGGGAACAATGAGCTAGGCATTTGGAGAGCTTGTGTCCAGGAGATTCCCAGGAGCTTCCTAAGAGAGCTGCCATTAAGAAGCTTTAGGGATATGTGTTCCCTTAGCTGTAGGCTTGCTTTCTGTGGTGTCTTGGGATGTTAACTGACAGGAGCATGCAACATAAGGCAGCGGGTCTGGATGCGATCCCTCTTCCTATTTAATATGCCTCTACCTGCTATATCCTGGCTAGCCTAAGAGCCATGGCTTGGCACAGAATTGGAATACATGGAGGGAAAGGCATTTTGTGCACACAACTTTGGGGCTGGTCCCAGTGGTTTAAGTGTATTAAAAATAGCAATGCATTGCTACAGAAGGGTCTGAGGAAGGCATTGCAGAATTCCCACTGCTTCCTGCCCAACTGCTGAAAGCAACCACAGTGCCCCTGGTCTTTAGTGATTACAGCTGTGATAAAATCATGTCTTTGCACCACTGTTGTATGCTGTACCTGAGCTGGGTCCCCTCCCCTATTCTTTATAGTTGCTTTGAGGAGAATCATATGACAGCCCAAAGAGCTTCTCCCTTGTTTGAGTCAGACTCTGGAAGCATGGAAAAAGGTGATCTTCCCAGTGTGGTTTTTAAGGAATGACACACATCACCTAAGCTCTTCTCTCATTTGCCAGCACTGCCCTCTTAGCTCACCCATTTCTTTTTCTTCTTTCTTATATAATATCCCAGGTTGCACAAGGCTGCAGTGGGCTGCAAACACCCTCCTATAGCAGCAGCCCAGTAAAGCTTCATCCAAGCCTTTTCCTAGGGTAGGCAGTGGGCACTTCAGGCCTGAGCACAGAAATGTTGCCTTTGGGCTTCCAAATATCCTGGTTTCATCACCCA